CTGTCAGTATCTTACTTTGCTCCCACTCTGCTAAATGTAAAGTGGCTACATTCGAAGTAGGTGGTCTTTAGCTCCACTTCTCCTACTGTGAATACTATAAGCCACTCATTTACATTTCGTATAGCACATCCAGTGAAAAAGCAACACAGAAAGCATGTACTCCTCCCTCTTGACAGTACACTGACCATTCCTTGTAGAGGGGAGTCCAGCAGGCCAGCCAGCTACCTTTGGCAGGTCAGATTTGACCCAGAGATTGCTAAATGAAGAGTACTGCCTTTTCCATTCTGCATGGCCCATGACTGATAAGATAACTCTGTGCATGAGCCTGTCACTTGAGCTGTTTCTTGCAAAATTGCCAGACCAAAAAAAAACCCATGGGGAGGACTCCAGCCGACAGCCGGGGTTGTTATGGTGAGGGAGGCCTTGGCACATGGTGCTCCCCACAACTGTCACTTTCCTTTAACTACTGAGAGCGTACAGGAGTGTACTAATGACACATAGAAGAGCAGGGATCCTCTGGCAGAACAGGAGTAAAGCAACAGGTCTAACCTGACTCAGAAACGCAACAACTCCAGGCTTTAGATCTGTATAGAGCATAGCATCACAGGATAATTCAGGTGGAAGGCACCCCTTAAGGTCCAAACTCCTGCTCAAAGCAGAGTCAGCTATGAGGTCAGACCAGGTAACTCAGGGCTTTATCTTTTCTGGTCTTGAAAACCCCAACAAATGGACATTGCACAACCTCCCTGGGAAACCCCTTCCAGTGCTTGATACTCCTCACGGTCAGAAACTTTCTCCTGATATCCAGTGTGAGCATCTCTAGTTTTCTTTCCCCACACTCCAGAAGTACTATTAGTGCTCAATTCCTTGGAATATTTCTCCACTATCTTATGTCACTTCACAAACCGTGTTTGCTGCAGCCTCCCATGCAAAGACATGAGAGAAATCAGAGACATCACTGGGAAAAAAAAAACAGAGAGCAATCTTGACTTTAATAGGCTTGAGCTTTCTATTCATTTAAATCTATTCAAGGAATTAAGAGAGATCTTGTCACAATAGCCAGAAAAGGCAGGATCAGGAGATGTCCAAGCCGTGGTCAAAGGTACACTTGCAATGCATTCAGATGTCTGTGCAGGCCTGAAATCTTAAATTACTGACAGTAATCAAGTGACTTTTGCATTGAGTTGGCAGTCAAGTATCTACAAGTTCCCAGATGGGTTTTGCAACCTTGATTGTCCAGCAACTTCAGTGAAAACCTCCTTTACATCACTGAAATCAAGTCCCAGCTGTGAGGAGTATCACTAGTCAGCTCTCTGGGAACTGTCATGGAGTAATCATCACCAATATGCAGACCTGACTTGTAGCTATTATCAGAGGAAGAAACCAGCTGCAATGCTCATTGTGTAATTGCTATCATGCCATGTAACACAAAGCACACGTATGACACTGAGGTGTAAGTGGGTGCATCTGTGGAGAAGATGACTGGGTATCAGGTTAATCTTTCAAGATCACTTTTCAGCTTTTTTCATACCCTAGGAAATCCTGATTTGACTATTACCATTGTGATTTCTGGTGTCCTCTATAAGACTGAAAGATCACCCCACGCAACGCTCCAGCCTTGGGGAAGAGCAGCTGGAAATCTGCCCATGGAAAAGGACCTGGGGGTGCTGAATGACAGGGCTGAACATGAGAAGCTTGTGCCCAGGCAGCCAAGAAGGCCAACGGCATCCTGCATAGCATAGCCAGCAGGGCCAGGGCAGTGATCATCCCCCTGTACTGGGCACTGGAATCCTGTGTTCAGTTCTGGGCCCCTCACTACAAGAGAGACATTGAGGTGCTGGAGCGGGGCAGGGCCTGGAGCACAAGTGTGATGGGGAACAGCTGAGGGACCTGGGGAGTTTAGTCTGGAGAAGAGAAGGCTCAGCGGGGACCTTATCGCTCTCTACAGCTGCCTGCCAGGAGGTTGTAGTGAGGTGGAGTGGGTCTCTGCTCCTAAGGAACAAGTGACACGACAAGAGGAAACAGCCTCAAGCTGCACCAGCAGAGGGTTAGACTGGAGCTGAGGAGCAATTCCTTCCCCAGAGGGTGCTCAGGCATTGGAACAGGCTGCCCAGGTCAGTGCTTGAGTCACCGGCTCTGGAAGTGTTCACAAGTCATGTATATGAGGCCCTCGGTGACAAGGTTCAGCGGTGGTCTTGGCAGTGCTGGGGTAATGGTTGATTCTGTGATTCTATATTATATGACTCCATTTCAATTTTATGCATATGGAGCTGCTCAGTTATGACCCTCTCAGTTACTTTTCGCTAGGGAGAAATAACCAGAAAACTCATATTTAGCAAAGAAAATGTAAAGTTGCGTATCACTAAACATGTGCAAACTATGACATCTAACTAGATCATAGTAAAACATCCCTGCGGGAGATGGAGAAATCATGTGGCTTGCTTAAAAGTGGAATGGAAAAAGGCCCGGAGCAAGCTCAGGGCACAATCCTGCACCAGCCCTTGTGTGGTGAATAAACTAAATGTGACTGATTGCAAGCTTTCTATCCCTAATTAAAACCTCCCAGAATTTGAGTTCAAAATCTGCTCCATGCAAATTCCAAGATAAAACCAATACAAGCGTATCACCCTTCTTATATCTCCAGGACCTACATGGTCTTGGAAAGGCAATACAGAGCCTGTATATTGAACTAAACCTGCAAAATACCAGATACACTATAGAGCAAGAACAGAAAGCTCTACTCATGCTAGGGTGTTAGTTTCCAACCACATCCTAGAACTCAGACCTAGCACTGATTTTCCAAAACAGATCTGAATGATCCTCCCAATATCTCCAGGAAGGCTGGAATGAAAAATCTAGGCTGCCAAATAGGAATTGTTCTGAACAAACCTCCTTAAGCCAAGAACTCCAAGTAAAACTCATGGATCCCACCTTCACCCAGTCTAACCTCTAGGACTTAAAACAGACGAAGCCCCTACTGAAGCAAAACAGTGTAAAAGTTTCAGATGAAGCAGGCATCAGACACTATTACTACACTCATATCTGACTCCCATAGAGATTAGAATCATGGTTGTGCAATTCCCCTTAACACACCTTCATAACATAAGGTTAAGGAAAAATTCCTCAGTTAACTGTATAAATAGGTCCCTAATGTCCACTGTGTTCTCACCATCTAAAATGAGCATATATTGAATAAACCAAAAGTCACTACAGTATGGAATGTTCAATAACTACACCATGAAGGTCTATATCTGAGTGCAATTTGCAGACAAAGCGAATTATCCCATCATAATTCTAATGTACAGATGTTCTCATATATTTTCATCTATGCCCACATATACGTATGACATTTTTATATATATATATATACATATATATATATATATATATATATGAATGATACAGGCTAATAGCTCAGTTATACAAAGCTTTTCTGTAACACAGATTCCAGGTCACAGAGTACAAAAATGCTGCCATGCACAGGAACAATACCTATGTGGTAAAGTATGACAGCTTAACCACAGTTTGGAGTGGAGAGTGGATGTTACTAGATTTGTGTTTGTTCTGTATTTGAGCAGTGTTGTGGAGAGAAACCAAGAATTAATGCTAGCTCAGACACACATTGGGAAAAGGGGTATATATAATTTTCTAGCTAACAGGATAAAAAAGCCCTTGGCAATGTGCATGTGTGGATGATACAGGAAAGGCAGGAGAGGGAGGCAATACATGTTTTGATATGCTACAGGGATGTCTTTACCTCATCCAGGTAAAGAGCTTGAAGAAGCTTAAGGAAATATTGCAGTGAACTTTGCCACATGGACATTACAAAAGCCATAACAGACTTCTTTAGGTCTTGAAGATGTTTGAGACTGGTAAAAGACATGGGTTGGTTGTGGGGATTAAATCCCAAAGTAGAAACTGGAGTCTGTGGCTTAAAGGTTCCTGCTGCAGGAGTAAGTTACTCCCTGGAAGTGCTCTTACATAGGGCTTTTCCCATTGAGCCAAGAAGCGTCACAGCAGCAGGCTTTGACACGGTCCCTCAGATTTATTCTGGGGACATGGTTCAACTCTCTTGCCCTCGAAGGTTTCCTTTTCCCACAGACAACACAGTGCCTGTGTGCCTTGTGGAAAGGCTGGAGAGACACATACTACCGAATTAGCTCTGGTATTCTCCCAGAGATTGTTTTGGTGTCTTGAATGACACATCCCCACGTAACTAACGTCTGCACATGTGGTTTGCACAGAAAGAAATTCTCCTGTGGGGAGGAAAGCGTGCCATGAGATGCTGGTTTTACCTGTAGAGACCTGTGCTTAGGGATCAAGGGATCCCCTGGTATCTGCAAGTGTGTAGGAGGGGAGAGCTAGGTTACATAGTTTAAAGGCTTGGGATCCTCTGCTGTGAAATCCGCATGGCCCAGTGGAAAGATGCGATCCCTCCCACTCTGTCCCCTCGCCCTGCGAGAGGGAAGGGATTCAGTTTTGTTTGCTGCTCTCCATTGAAGTCTGCGTAGGGGGAAGGGGAAGAAGACGTGCAGATCATGCACCGTTATGCATCCTCAGCTAACAATAAACCGCTACCGAGCAAAGGAGGCAGCCGCCGGCCGCCTGATCCCGCTTCGGGAGGCACGCCCCGCACCCCCCCCCCTCCTCCGGAGGCACCGCACTGACCCACATGTTCCGCGACCTTCCGCCACGAGTGACACGGGACACGCTCCGCCAGCCCCTGCGTGCCCCGCAGCCGCGCTGCCCCCGGCCCCGCCGCCAGCACCTAGGCCAGCGGCCGGCGCTCACAGCCGCGCCGCGCCACGGGGGACCCGGGGCATGGCGAGGTGCGGAACGGTCGCGCACCGCTAATGGCGCTGGACGGGCCCCGGGCAGCCGGGAGGGGGGCTGCGAGGGGCAACCGCCGCCCTTCGTGCCAGGGGCCGTCGTGCCGTTATCAGGGCTGGGGCCGCCGCTGCCCGAGCATCCCTCTACCGTCGTCCCTGCCAACGCCTTACCCACAGTGCGGGATCCGATGCAGCCCATCACTCCGGCAGGGCTCCGGGAAGAGGCGGCAGCCTCAGCAGCGAGGAGGCGGAGGAGAAAGGGAGTGGGGGAGGTCGGAAAGGAGCCAGTCCCTTCAGCGGGAAACGCCGGGGTGGCCCAGCCGGGACCGGCGCGGGGTCATGGTCAGGTACGAGCGCGGAGTGCCCCCGCCGGGGCGACGCGGACTGGAGGGGAGCCCGCGGGCCAGGCTGTCATCTACCCCCGCCTCGCCTTCGCGCTTTGTTGCGCTCCCCTTGCGGCTCCCTCTCCGCGGCCGCGTCCCTGCCTCCGCCGTGCCCCCCGCCGCCCGCTCCCCCCTCGGCGGCTCCCCGACGGGGAGGCGGGCTGAGATTGGGTAAACAGCTCCAGCCCGGTAGCGCCGCTCCGATTGGCTGCCGGTCTCCGCGGCCCGGAGAGGAAGGGCCAGACCGGGCCGGGCCGGGGGTCGAGGGCCGGGACCCGCGGCAGGGCGGAGGCGAGGGTCCGCCCGCCTGGGGCGGGACGGGGCGGGCTCCTCCCGCCCGCCCGCCGGGATTGCGGTGCGGAGCGGGGCGGGCACAGGTGAGCAGTGGCGCAGGCCGGGAGCGGGGGATGAGCAGGTAGAGACGGGGGGAGGCGGGGAGGGGAGAGCGGGAGCGGCCCCGGAAGGAGACGCGAGGGGCGCGGGGCCCCGGGGGGCGGCTGTTTCCCGGTAACTACACTTGCCGGCCCGACTCGATTACAGGCAGCCCCCTAGCGGCTGCCTCCCGGGGGGCGGGCCCGGCTCTCGCTGCCGGCTGAGGCGGAGCGGGCGGCCCGCGGCAATCCCTTGTGAGGAGTGCCCGTTGCAGAGCCCCCCAGGGTGCAGATGCGCGGCGCTGCCCTGCCGCTCCCCGCCGGACGGTGAAAGAAGCAAGCTCAACCCTGTGGAAGAAAGAGGCCTCCCCCGCATCCTCCCCGGTAACATGCGCTGAGGAGGGATCTTTCCAGATGGAGAAGATGCTGTTAGGTTCTGCTCCCTTCACAGGCCACATTTTACCTTACCTGACAGCAGCTGCAACAGGCAGTGTCCTCCTGGCCCACCTCCCCACCACTGCAGACTCTCCCCACTCTGCTCCTTTCACCTCCCATCTCTGAAATGCTCATGACTTCTCCCTGTCCTTTTGTGCTTCCCTCCAAAAGCCTCGCTGATCTCACCGGCTTCCTTCCACCAATCTCTAGTAACAGCCAATTGAATTTTTCTGATCCCAAATGAGCCATTTTGTTCTCATCCTTTTGGTCTGTGTTGCTGAGAAGTCATAGAATCAATCATAAACTGGTTTGGGTTGGCAGAGACTTCAAAGCTCATCCAGCTCCAACCCCCTGCCACGGGCAGGGACACCTTCCACTAGAGCAGGTTGCTCCAAGCCCCGTCCTACCTGGCCTTGAACATTGCCAGGGATGGGGCAGCCACAGCTGCTCTGGGCACCCTGTGCCAGCGCCTCAGCACCCTCATAGGGAAGAGCTTCTGCCTAAGAGCTCATCTCAATCTCCCCTCTGTCAGTTTAAAGCCATTCCCCTTGTCCTGCCCCTACAGTCCCTTGTAAAAAGCCCCTCTCCAGGTTTCTTGCAACTCCTTTAGGCACTGGGAGCTGCTCTAAGATCTCATCAGAGCCTTCTCTTCTCCACGCTGAACAAGCCCAACTCAGCCTGTCTCCATAGGAGAGGTGCTGCAGCCTTCAGAGCATCTTCGTTGCCAAGTCATGACAGAAGAACAGTCCTGATTAACAGCGGTAATGGGGAACAGGTAGGTTCATTCATTTTCCCATTCACAACTTACAGTCAGCCTAAGGAGAGAAGATAATATTCACGTGGAAGAATAAGCAGGAAGTGTGCTCACACAAAGTCAGTTCACAGACTAAAATTCATGGTAGGAAGGACAGAAAAAATGGTAGGAATGTCTGAATATATGCAGTTATATTATTTTTCCCAATGTATCTGCACTGTTGAAACCTAAGTTGTAAAAATGCTTGGAAACCATGGGTCTGATGGAACTTTGTTAACCAGAGGTGTTTCAGAATCTCTGAAAAGCGGACCCATATTGACCTCCAGGGCTAATAAATACAAAGAAAGGGGAAACAAAAGCAAATCAGAATGGAGGAGTGCTGTATTAAGAGGCAAAGCCTGTTCCTGATAAACCTGTTGTAGGTTAGTGACTGCCCAGCTACTGTTGTCACCTGTAGTCTCTTGTAGACAGATCAGGACAGCTGTCCTTAAGAGTTCACCAAACAGCATTTGCACCTCACTGTAGCCTGAGATGTGTTAACTGACACAGCTGCTCCTCTGCCCAGAGGAATTCTGGTTTCACATTAATCCCCTTCTCCTCTTCACCCGCCCACCCAGTCTAAATCTGTTCCTCTGTGAACCTCCTTTCTGCACTGTGAGTGATCTCTGCTGTGGCTTCTTTTGCAGTGAAGGCTTCAGGTAAGTCACATGGACTCGTCTTTATTGCCCCTGTGTGATGCTTTTGCTTGTCTATCACTTTGTCTCAAGCTCAAAGTCATATGCTGGGTCCTAGCAAGTGCAGTTTGGCTTTCATTAAGGAACGATACCATCTACATCGGTCTGCTCTGACTTCAGCCTCAGGGTGTGATTCCACAGGCAATTGAGCAAGTCCCAGCACTTGCCCTGTCTGAAAAGCAGCTTTCCAGTTCTTGATAGGCTGGTCTTCTGCTGCTTTAGTCAGGTGGTGGTTTACATAGGGATCTGGCGAGCACCTGTGCTGCTGCAAGGCAAGTGTCAGGTATGCACAGCAGAGAAAGAGAACTGGAAAGGAGGAGGATTATACTCAACTGGACTGCTTCATGGCTGTCTTGCATGTTCTGATGCCACAAGCTCTCTCTTTTTTTATTTGGAATCAATATCACTTAGCCGTTGGACACACTACCTGTCTTGGCATGCTTTGTCTGCCATTTTCAACATAGTCAGTTTGATCAAAGGATAGACTCTTCATCTTTTGGTTCTCATACATTTATTCATTATGGATCCTGTATACACAAATGTCCATATTTAAAGTAAGTTTAATTCTTAGTAGAAGTTGGGAAGACTTGGTTAGACAATCATCTATGAGCTTTGACACAGTTCCTTGGCTCTTCTGTACTGGAGGTTCCATACAAAAGGGAGCTCATCATCAATAAGCAATCAATACCTAGAACCTTTACTAATTAAATTTGGCTACAAAACAATTACCATACAGTAGCATAAGAAAACAGCAGCTATTTTACATTCTGAAGAAATATATGATTTCATGAGAATATGACTTCATGGGAGTTATCATGTAGGAGGGAAGTGACAGAACTGAATCTTTGAACAGGGAACTAAAACCGAGTATAAATCTAACTGTCCCCCACAGTTTCTGTCCTTGCTGTTCCTGAGCAACACTATTCTTCCCACTAATGCTGCAAGGAACAGGAGGTAAATGCCAAAACCTACATTGTTTTGTTTCCTTTGAACTACGCTTTCTGACAGGCGCTGAATATTTTCTCTAAGCATTGAGAAAATAATAGCCTTCTTAAAAAATGAGGCTGTAATTTCATGTAGGAAATTGTGTATGAAATACATTTTATAGGGGCTGATTTTAAATGCTGGTCTGAAAGATCTTCAGCTCTAAGTTTCCGTCAGGGTCATGAGATGGAGTCATTTAAGTATCTAGAGACAAACGTAAATGGATTCTTTACATATCTGGGTATCTCAGAAGGAAGGAGCAGTAGGAAGCAGCTACTTGCAACCCCCTAAATTATTTGTATGATTATTGTAGAGCTGTAGACCTCCCCCTTGACAGACCATATTGTGAGAAGTATGCTGGGCAAGAGAGAAGGAAGAGCGTGGCTGTGTTCGAGTTATCATGAGCTGTAGGTCCCAGCTGTTAGGAACTTCTGTTTGCAGAGCAGAGCTTCAGGGCTGCCTGAACTAGGTCAAGGATGCTGAGGGTGGAAGGGCAACATTAAGCTTCCTTGGCCTTTTTCTTCCCCCAGTCCTGCACCATTGCCATGAGCACAACAGAGGAATTGACTGAGATGCCATAATCAACTTTTTAGTGTGTGCTCCTTGGTTTGGGATTGAAAACAGGCACAGATCCATGCCTCTAAGAGCCTCTTCCCCCTATCCCTCGCACCCAGAGTGGGCACTCTTATAGGTGTCAGCAGCAGTGGTAAGGGGAGGAAAACATACTTCCAGGAAAGCTAAAGCTAGTGACCTTGTGCTCAGTAGAGGGGCTGGTTACAGCACAGAACAAAGCAGTTTCAGAACAAGCTCTGATTTTTCACAACTTGTTCTAAATCCACACTAAGGCACCTCTATCATAAACCTGAAGACACACTTATGCAGTAAATTGTTAACTGTTTGGTTGCCTTTTAAGAGATGGCTGTTCAGCATTGTTTATCTTCTCTATAAGCCATTGATAAATCTACTAAACCTACTTTTCTAGAGGTTCCCTATAGCTCTATATAAAGATCTTATAAATACTGGAACAGCTTCTTTCTAAAGAACACTGCTTATAAAATACAGAGCTATTGTCACTGTCATACCTGCTGATCAAATTTATTCATCAGTTAATTATCAGGGATACAGATTGTATCCTAGTAGGTAATGTGCCCTTGTCATCTGCATTAGCTGCCATTTAAACCAGTTAAAGTGAAAAAGAATTACCAATAGAAGTCTTGCCACTTGGAAGTAAACATTGACAATCCCCAAATAATTTAAAATGTCTTCCTTCTATTATTCATAGACTCATAGAATCAGCCAGGTTGGAAAATACCTTTAAGAACATCGAGTCCCACCGTTACCCCAGCATCACCAAGGCTACCACTAAACCATGTCACTGAGGGGCTCACCTTCACAGTTTGGGAACACTTCCAGGATGGTGACTTCACCACTGCCCTGGGCAGCCTGTTCCAATGCTTGACAACCCTTTTGGTGAAGAAATTGTTCATAATATACAGTTTAAACCTCCCCTGGTGCAGCTTGAGGCCATTTCCTCTTGTCCTATTACTTGTTACGTGGGAGAAGAGACCAGCCACCTCCTCACTCACCTCATCCTAACATTAGTTCATGTCCCCCTAGAGGTCTCACTGGCAACCATGTCTATCC